AAGTTGATTTTTGATCAATTACTAATCCAAGATAATTCACTTTACTTGACCAAGAAATTAGAACTCCGTTCACAATGCCTACATGACTACTACTATGTTTCTAAAAGGAAGCTCTAGGCTTATGTGGGAATATTATAAGTTATGTTTTGGAAGCGTTGGGAGGAATCTTCCATTTTTTTTTTAATAAGGAAAATATCTAAACTTCTCTGCGGTCTTCGGCAAATAACACTCAGACTTCTTCCTTTAGCGGAAATAAATGTGTCATCTTCGAACAATGATTTATGGCAAACCTGAGGCCAGGGTTGCTTCCACTCACTTCGCAGTGAAAGGTGTTTTTCGAGCTTGTGAAATCATTGGATGCTATAATGGTTTTTTGAGCTTGTCAGGCGCAGAAGGAGGTTGGGAGGTATGTGTTTGACACATGGAGCCTGTCATTTTCACGTTCAGTACGTCGCAGTCGGCGAGTTTGTGACTCGTGAGCGTTCACTCAGAGTGAGCGCTCACGAGTCGTAGAATCGCTGATTGTGGCGCGCTAGAAGAGATAGCGACAGGTTTTGTGTGTCGGGCACCTTGTTTGCAAACTTTTCTTGAAGCTTAGTAGTACTAATTACCATTTTCGATTCTAATGATTTCATAGTTCCGAAAAACAATTTTTTATGGCTGATGAGTGGAAGCAGCCCTGCCTAAGGCAAATCAGGAAGGTCCGAAGTGAAAATGTTATATACAGGGTTACCCACTCGAAGTGTTACCTATTCAAATGACAATAAATTTTTTTAAGTGAAATATTTTTTATTGATTCCAATGGCAAAAATGTTTGTAAATAATCAAAATTTCAGAATCCATTCACTTTAGCTCGATGTGGACACCTTTTGCCTTGACTATGGCCTTCAAACGGTCAAAAACGAGTTGCATGCTGCACGAATGTGAGCTTGTGGTATTTTGGCCCATTCACGTACAATCGCTTTCTTTAGCACATCTGGCACTGCCATATTTTTTAGTCCGCACCTTGCTCTCTAAAATGGACCAAATGGAAAAGTTCATCGGATTTGCGTCTGGCGAATTCGAAAGCCATTGTGTCGACGAAATGAAGCGTGGAATATGAATTTTTAACCATTCTTGGTTAATTTTCGCTTTATGTGACGGTGCCGATTCTTGTTGGAACGTCCGTGCTTTGCGACCGAAATGTTTGCGTACCCACGGCTCTAAAGCAGCTTCTAAAATATTTTCACGATAATAAGTCGCATTTACATTGACACTAGGCTCGATGGAAACGATTGGAGAGCGGCCATCAGAGGTCACGGCTGCCCACGCCATCACTTGCGATGGGAAATTACTTCGGGTGACCATTCGTTGGCTTAAATTCTCGTACGTGCGTTCGGTCAAGTAAACACGGTCATTTTCAGAGTTTATGAACTGCTCAATAGGGAAATTTTTCTCATCAGAGAACACAATGTTCGGAAATTCGCCACGTTCGTGCAAGCGCACCAATTCCTTTGCTCTTTCGATCACGAATAACTTTTTTTTCTAAAAAACGGAGCATTTTTCCTTTTGTACGCTTGTAAACAATTGAATGAACTGTCATTGGTATAAATTTGAGTGCGCTATCATTAATAGTGTGGTAGTTATAGCAGTTTGAAGCTGGTAACACTTCGAGTGGGTAACCCTGTAATATAGGCCCAAGAATGCTACCCTGAGGAATTGCTGTTCTAAAAGGTAGTCGTTCAGATTTGAAGTTTTGATAATTTACCTGCAGAGTTCTGTCAGTTAAATAATTTTGAACTAGTTTCATAATAAGGAGCAGTGCTGATAAAAATCCTTTCTTCTACACTCAATTTAGCTGAATATGAAGAAAACCTTAACAGATAGACCAACTACCTGCATGAATTTGAATTTTGATATAAACAAATTCCCTTGATCTAGGCAACCTCTGAGTATCTAAAATAACATTTGTTTTTCTTCATTCGTGGCTGGATTCTCATTATCGCCTCTGTTGTTGTAAATATTGAAATTCGTCTTCATCTTGATCGGGGATGATATTGAGGATCAAATGCAAAATGATTATTTTCATTTTAAACAAATATAGCGCTGAAGAACGTGGTTTTTAGACATAAGTCGACGGCAAATTATTGCCTTAAGCTGAACTGATGATAATATCGATGATTAAGGCAGTGTGGTCGACAATATTCAAAATAATCATTTTGCCCAAAATTTCGTTGATTATTTTGCTTTTAAGGATCACTTCTGATTTTGACAATTTTGGGTTTGATAATCGAGCACTGGTGAATATCAACAAACGCGTATTCGTTGATGTATAATAAACTCATTTGTTCATTTCGCTCGTTTCGTAACTACGAAGATGTTCAAAACAAACGCAATTCATCGACACTGGGTTGAAGCGCTACTCCTTGCGTGTGATGGTAAATGATAAAAACAGACACTGATAAGGAGTGGAAAATTAAACTTTTCAATTCGGCAATCAAATCTTCATGCCAAACACTGTTGAATGCTCTGTCTAGAAGAGTAACTCCAGTTGAGCAGCCTTCAGATTTGTTTGAACGAATTAAATTGCTAGCCGGTGCCGGTGGTGTAGTGGTAAGCGTGACTGCTTTCTAACACCCCAATGGGTCTGGGTTCAATCCCAGCCGAGGTCGGTGGGATTTTTCTGAGGCATAAAAATCTCTGGTTACGTCTTCCTTCGGAAGGGAAGTAAAGCCGTTGGTCCCGGCCCATGTGTGTTGAATGGGTGCGATATCCTACGCAGGTGTGGAAGCTGCCTTCCTGCACATTCGATTGCGGTCAATGGATGGCAATCGATGTCCGTCGGTGATTGGCACTAGATTGCGGAACAGAGACCGACGTTAAATAAAGGAATGAATTAAATTGGTAACTCTTAGGAGTTGATGACTAGCTCAATGTCCATGTCGAAATCCAAACTACTCATCAGTAGCTAAAAGCGTCAGCTGAATATTTATCCGGTTTCAAAATTGGAACGAGTTAAGCATTTTTTCATTTATCAGGAAAGTATGCCAAATGGAAACATCTGTTAAATAATTTTACCAAGAAAGACAAGGTACTCGCTAGGAGTTTTTTGATGAGAATACAGAAAATTCCACTATAACCTGGAGCTTTCATTTTTGAAACTTTTTAGTTATAGATCTTAGTTTGTCCAAATCAGTCCCCAGGAATCATAAAAAAAATCCGAGAGAAATAATCAGAAAATCCCGAGTAACCTGATTCTCAATAAGACTATTAAGACCCTAACTGAAATTATGGGAACTCTCGAATAGCATAGCAAGTTTCTGAGCTTTTTACGAATTTGTGATCAAAATTTTACCACCTTCTTTAAGGGGAAGTTCACGGCTTCGAAAAAAATAATTACGTTTTGATTTTTCTAAAAATATTGAAAAAAAAGTATCAAAAATCTAAAAAAATCACATTTTTTTCTAATTTTTTAAAGAAAATTCACGTGTAAAACATGTTTTATAAGTCATTATGGCATAAAGTTGGACTCAAAAAACCACAAAACATCAACTTTTCGGTTTTTCTGAGAGTCCAACTTTTTTTTCATGATGGGATTGAAAATTTTTTTTGCATGTAATTTTTGACAAAAATCTAAGGAAGAAACTGATTTTCTTGGATTTTTGATAATTTTTCCCAATATTTGAAGGTCGTCGTCTATTATAATTGAATCGAATTTAACGGCTTCTGTTTCAACTATAGAAGTAGTTTATAGAGATTCAAGGGCATTGTTAATATCATCTTTGATTTGCAAAGGAATATTTGGATCAAAGTTATAATTCAATGCAAAGGAATATTTGGATCAAAGTTATAGTTCAATGTTCGATATTGCTGCCAATCAGCTCTATGGTAATTGAGGCTGTTTGGGTATTGAATAGTGTAATAACCTGCACAACAATTATCAAACAGAATTTTACCATTGAAATTGCTTTTAGCATTTATCCATAAGCGGTTTTTTGCTTTAAAATCTCCAATAATGAAGAATTCTGACCTATGAGGGGTAAGTTTCTCAAGGTCACCCTTGAGAAAAATTCTTTTGCTGGCCTACGAATTGGAATGGAAAATAGGCAGCTATAAACGTAAGTTGTCCAAAGTTTCAAAAACTTTGGTTTCAAACGAAGAGAGAATTTTATGTTTGATTCGTCTATGAACAATGATGGCAACGCCACCACAGGGTCCATCAAGACGATCATTCAGATAAATGAAAAAAAAGGTTTAAGGAACGTTTCAGTTATAACGGCAATATGCACATTTTGAACTCTCAAAAAGCTAAATAGCTCGTCTTCATTATTTTTAAGAGATCGAACATTTTAAAATATTTAATGATTTAAAATCCATTACTGAATTTCAAAGTCATGACGAAATTGTTCGCAAATTTTACTCCAGTTTGAATAGCATCAAACATGGAGTTAGATTTTAGCATATCAGTAATCATGTCAATTAATGATTTCTGTAAAAATTCCATTTTAGGAGCAAAATTTCCTTTAGAATTATATTGGCTAGTATTTTGATATCTACCCGTTGCAATAGCAGCATAGGTAGCTCCATTTACTCGCTGAACATTGATAGCAGTAAGGGGAGTAGGTATAGATGAAAAATTTGAAGCAGGGGTGATATTTGTATCTAAGGGTACGAATGTAGAATTTGTTCCTTGCTAACCGTTGTTAACGTCAGTGGAATTTGTACCTGGTCGGAAACGTGGAGCGTTTCCTACCTGTCGCTTAGAACAAGATTGTAGGATCGCTTTGCGAAATTGCAAAAACAATTGGAATATTTAACACAATACAATCTAATCACAAAGTTAATTAAACTACAATCTAAGGTTAATATTCTTCAAGAAAACATATATGAGGTTATTACCCATTATCCAACCATATTTATTTTTCCCGTAAAGCCACCAATAATCCCTAAGCCAATGGGATACGCCAAAATGAGCATCCAGTTAATCGCCTTTTTCATTTCTTATTACTTTTAATTTTCAGAAGTCCCTCGACAGGTCGGAGCCAGTAACGTTAGCGCCACAGTCGCAAAGCAGTGAAGGTATTTTCACCGGAAAAATGGCTCTATTAAGGTCCAATCCCCAAGCGGGGCTTTTCTGTTCCAGACTAGTAAATACGAATCCCGAAGGAGCCTGAAGCGAGCGCATTATTTTGTGATTCTAAGGAAATCCAAAGCACAAAGGGACATCAAAGCATAGGATCTATAAATATCCGCTGCGTTATTTTTGCGGTACCTTTGGTTCTCCTACCATCTTTAAAAAGGCAAAATTTGACGAGGGAAATACAAAGAGGTTTTGAATCAATTAAAAAGGGAAAAGTTGGGAAACGATACAAATTATTTGGTGGCAAACGTTGCAAAGATAATGGCAGCAAGGATCTGTTGCATCAGCAGTGCTAGAGTAAAAGAAGGGAGGGTTTAGCGCTCAAGGAGAAGGAAAAAACCAAGGGAGTGCCAGTGAAATTAATTGCCAACGCAACTGTTTTCACAAGCCTGGATACTTTGCTTTTTCCGAAAACCATTTTCCCAGTATGACCTATACCTCCCATCATCATCGTCATCATCATCATCATCATCATCATCATCGTCAGTGGTGGTGGTTTCAGTTTGAGGGACAGCAATTGAGCCGAGGCTTGATTGAAGTGGAAATGAAAGCAGGCAGAACAAGTGGCTGTGCATCGAACTGTAATAAAGTGGCTAACGATGTGTTATAATTAAATCACGACAGATGCGTACCGCGCCACCAGATGACTTTGGCGGAAGTTGCACCAGTAAAGCACTGGACCAAGTGAGATAGAAGCAGAGGCAGAGGCAACGAATGGTTATTGCTGCTGCGGAAACGGATTCTACGACATAATCGTAAATTGCGCCATTTGCAGCTGGCAGGACTCCCATCATCGTGCTGTTCATTTCGATTCGAAGGTAAGTGTATGAGGCAAGGGTACTGGATAGGCAACAGCTGCACAAAGGAGTAAAACCTAAAGTTTGACCGAAATCCCTCACTTTTTTTAGATATATAAACATCTAGAATAGCGTAAACCGCCATCATTCGCGTAGTTAAGAAAAACGTAATTTAAACTAAGTGATGAAAAAGTTTTGAAGGTACTAGCGATAAACTATTTCTACCAAAAAGCAGTGTTGCTGAAGTTGTATAAAAGAAAAATATACAACTACCAATATGTGTGACATAATCTTGCTAAAAAATAAAATTCTTCAATATGTCTTTGCGCCTAATTCAACGCATTTGAAAAGCGGGTATTTATTGAATATTTGTGTGTGATAACTATTACAATCCAGTGGCACATCTAAGGACATTTATAGAGTAACTGGATGCAAAACTATAGGGTAACGGGATAGGCTCTCGGTCTACGTTCTATTCCGAACACATCTTTCGATTTTTTTTATTGATGTTATATTACGTTATGATAAAATTATGTTGAAAGAACCCTAAAAATGGTTCATTCCCTTCATTGTAGGGTGCAGCACTACCTCGGCATATGGGACCCATTTCCGTCATAGACGTAAAAAACAAAATGAATACAAACAGCTTACATTCAACATTCTTGCACCAAATCAAAGAAGACTGGCAACTTTGCCAGGATCCAAACGACAGATGCAGTAGCGCTGCACTTGAGCGAAGGTGGAAGCAACGCATAGAAAAGTGATCAGATACACAAACCTTTCTTCTGAGGATGTAATGTTTGCTATCAAATTCGTTCGAAGCATTTACCTTTGAGCGGCAGATGACGCAATTGTACCTGTCTCTTAACGGTCATGCGAGAAAATGGAAGAGCTGCCAGTCTACTTGATATGTTGTCTTCGATTAAATGCTTTGCTGACGAGATACATTACGAATACTATTAAATAATTTGTACACGACTGTCAGAGACTGATTTGGTTGTACTGAAGTGAAGTGAGGTATGCTGAAATGTGGTCACACCTTACTGTTTATCTGAGTGAAAAAATGTCGGTTTACGGAGCAATAATATTTACATTATTTGACGAATCTCAGGTAATCGTGACCAGTCTTGTAAGCGGTGACCGTAGTCCACATTTTTTCTGTGATAATCGACTGCCTTTGCTTCCGACACTTGCAAAACAAGCTATCAAATTACAGTACCAAACTAAAATGTCATATGACAGGCTCTGTCATACGACAATGTCGCCGAAGACCAGTCACGAATGTATGTATTTTAGTTTTCCTCATAATAAGAGCTGCTGATGTTGTGCTTGTGTGAATTCTGAAAATAGCAAGCAACGATGTCCTAGTAATAACATTTCTCATCAGAAATTGTTTAATTTACACCAATTAGAGGAATTATCCAATCATTATGTATGCATTATTCAATAACCTCCTCTATCACTTTACGACTTTGATAATATCTTTCAAAGTGTTTTTTTTTATGTTACTTCATACGCGAAGTTAGCGATTTTCAGAGTTGGTTGGAAATGCTAACATGAAGCTTTAGTGTGATAATTTATTAGCTAGAGAATGATCTTTAGAAGAGAGTAGGTGGATAGTTCCGTTAGAGTACGGCAGTATGAAAATTGAATAGAAGTTGAAAAAGAGGGGTTTTAGGTCAGTCAGTTTATGAGTAAAAGAAGGACGCACATTTTTTGCCTGTAGACTTGGAGACATACTTCAAGTCTCCGCGTATATCGTACGGGTTAGGCAAAAGATGTGCGTCTAACTTTAAAAACTGTCGCATTAATGGCCCTTCGCTCATTTTCAACTTCTTTTCAATTTTCATACTGCCGTTCTCTAACGGAACTATCCACCTACTCTCTTCTAAAGATCATTCTCTAGCTAATAAATTATCACACTAAAGCTTCATGTTAGCATTTCCAACCAACTCCTCTTATCTTTATTTATTTCCTTTCGAAATCTAACCGTCTAACTTTAACATGCTTTCTAACTCCTTGCCTTGGGTAGATCACCTTCTCGTGGTACATTACGGGATGTAAGATCTACCACCGATTCCTAGTTCTGACTACTTCAAACTAGGGGAACAGGATTTTTCAGTAATCCAAGGAACACATCTTAGTCCTTGTTACTGTTTATGCCTTGTTGATAGTGACAAGACTCGGCTTTGTCCACCGAGGATGATCTTGAAGCAAGGAAAAAATGAGTTAGTAAGTCTTCATCTATGTGATTCCTAATCTTCTATTCGCTGTTCCCTAGTTTGAAGTGGTTAAGACTAGGGTTCTGATGCATGGTCATTATCGGTGTCATTCCTTAATTTTGTTGCTAAGGAATCCAATTTTGACTGACAAAGGGGCGCGCTTTTGGAGGGTGTTTCATCACTCCGAAGGGTATGAATAGCGGAACCTTTCAATTAGAGTCGGATCCTTGCGATAAATGCGAGAATGACAACTGTAAAAAAATCGAATACTTCATCATTTCTCAATAGTGATGAAGTAATACGACATGCACTAAACTAAGAACACGGGATATACTACAATAGATCAAATTACTGGTCGCAGTGGTGTTAGGTCCCGAACAGAGGAAAAAAAAACTCCTTGCCTTTTCCCGCCTACAGTGTTTTGGCATAATCCATTATTAAAACCAGTATCTCCGGAGTGTCTTGAGATATTGGCCTAGGTTCTTTCCATTAATAGAAGAATACCGACTATGTTGCTATAGTTTTGTATGTATGTAAGGTAGCCACCATCCCTTCGAAGATCTTGTCTTGTATGCAGCTCCACTTAATAGCAAGATCAATTTGAGCTACCGATCTGAATTCACAATATCGCTGTATGAAGGGCCAAAAACGGTGGGGTGGACCCGTAAGCAGAGGCACTTACGCGAAATCCACGGGAATTTAAGAATCTCCTTCCAACGATACGATCCAACAAATCGAATAACGCAATTCGCAATACTTATTAAGCTTCCTACAGGATGGTTTGTTAAGAAGGGCGCGTCAATCTCACTGAAACTGTTGGAGTAGAATTCACACCATCACAATCGAATCGGTAGGATAAAGAAAATGATAGTGTTTATTCCCTCCTAGACTCCGGTTGTCATACCACTCCAATCGTCCAGTGTCAGGTCAAATGATACCCTGATGCTCCCTCCCAACCCAGTATTTATTTATATATATAGTAAACATATGTAATGGAGAAATGAAATATATCAGAACATTAAAATACGTAATAATGAAAATATATTTATATGGATAAAAAAAACTGGTATTCCGCAATGAAAATAATAATTATTTTACATACAATATGATGCAGCTCTATGTCTCCTCAGCTCCCAATAAGGAAGATGTAACCCTGAAATTTCCAATAAAAGACACAGAAAAGGAGATTTTTGTTAGTAAGTTGGGTTCGTTGGATCAGGATTCACCTTGATAAGTGATGCGACCATGGTTTTAAATGAATCAGTGTTATCATGCATTATACTTGGATTTGCCCGAAGCCAAAACCAAATGGTGTATCATTGGGCCTTATTACGGGTGTCACTACACGGTGATAAGCAAGTGATACTCAGAATAAGAGCCGTGATTACCGTACAAATCAAATGGGAATCACTTCACCGTGACGACAAGTGACAACTTTTCACCGTGATGTGACATCCGTAATAAGCCCCATTATAATATAAATCTGAAGACGTTCCATCATCGAAATGCTGAAAATGAACTTAGAGCATGAGCATGAGCAAAATTGATCGCCCGCGACTGCCAACACCAAAGAGCTGAAAACCAATTCAAACAAATCAAATCAACAGACAAAACCAGGGTGAAAGCTGTAAGAGTGAATCATTACAGTATAAATCTAGTGATGTTCCGTCATCAAAGAGCTGGAAGAAAACTCAAATAATTTAAATCAATAGATCCAGTCTGAATGAAGGCTGCAAAAAGAGAATAATTATACAGCAATGACCCCATTTTGTCAGCTAGCAAAGTATGCGTATCTTAAACATTCATCTTGAAGGAGGAAGGTATGAAATTACAATTATGTGGAATTATTGAAAAATAACAGTCTGATGCGCGGAGAGATAGACAGGATCGGGTCATAACTGTAATGTGAATATTAGGAAGATTTATCATCATCAAACTATTCTTGAATTGACCTGGAAGAATGCTTGTGAATAATTGTTATACAGATAAATTAAATTGATAAACTAAATGGTTCAAACAACAACTCCAGCCTGTAAAAAAGCTGAAAATAGGGAATCTTTACAATGTGGATCCCCGACGGTCTTCTACTCAGTAAGCAAAAGCGGCAGACACCAGGCTAGTCGATCTGCTCAATTTAAATATTGAAACCTTATTTTATGAAGTTCTTAAGAATACCAATTGAAACACAATGTAAGCAAATAAAAGTTAAGAGTCTCATCCGAATCAAATGATTCCAAACGATACGCATTCATAGAAATTAAGTTTAAATAGACAAAAGTAGAAAAATGGAACAATCTCACCAAATCAGTCCAACTGAATCCCTTGCAAGCAGCTATGTCACGCTTGGTGTAGTAGCTCCGATCATAGACCCGCCCTACGTAGTTCAATCCTCTGGTCGAATGTAGTCGATTGCTCCATGACGCGAACACGAAGCGACCGCTCACAAAATCATACAACGCGTAAACAAACTGAAATCAAAAACTATCGCACGCGACGCCACAAATTTCTGTACCGGGAGCACAAGCGAAGAAAAAAAAAACAAACAACGCAGCACAGAACAGAAGGGGAAGTGCAAACAAATCGGTGAATCAAAAAGTGCTCGTTTTTCTACTCAACGAGCGATGTGATGTGGTAGCGTTCCACATAGGCTTTCTATGTGCACTCACACTATCATAGCATGCTGCCTATCTTAACTACAGGCCGAAGATGCCTTCTACCGCTAGGTGCGCTAGTGTTCGCAAATGACCAGTGGAGCCACTTTCTGATTTGAAGTTCCACTCCTGTGAACGCAGATAGCGACACTTCTTCTGATGCCTGCAAACATGATGCATCACGTTTTCTTTTTCGATTCCAAAACTTCTCGGAAAGCGAGAAAACCACCAATCACACACGTATAACCGTCCGGGAGGCAGAGTGCCAGCGCTAATCTGGCAAAATCAGCGAACGCACGCACAAAACAGAAATAAACTTATACACAACCGTATCCGAACAGGTTCGAAGCTGAACTGACCGACTATGTTGCAATAGTTTTACAAAAAAAAAAATAGGTTGTAATAATTAAGGAAATTATAGCACACATTGTCAAAAAAGGCATGGTGCGCCAGAGTAAAGGGTGTTACGATTAAAATTATGTCAAACCAGAGTGCGTGTACATGCGGTTAATCTTTTTTTAATTTCAATTACTATAAAATACATGAAAAATATTCAGCTAAGCTTCCGGTTGGACGAATCTAGATTACCGGGCCTACAGCCACCTCGTCTATTTGTTCGCAGCAGAACGCCAGTTTGCTTTAAACTGCTTTTCGCTTCAAACAGTTTTTTGGGTCTTCTTCAGGTCCCGCTTGACGAAGATCCAATATTGTTTGATTGGGTGACAAGCCGCAATAGCCTCCCTCTTTCTTCATTCGTAGTTTTGTCATGGCACAATGGAAAAATTATAATTGACAAAAAATTTACATTTAATAAAATGTTCGAACTGTGTTTTCTCGCAATTTTTTGTCATTTGTGCAAAAGAAACTATTTTTAAGACTAAACAAATTTACCGCAAACAAATTTTAAAGAAATTGTTTGTGAAACACAAGTTAATTTTTTTTTTATTTAAACTTGATATTCCACGATTTTTGTCAGTTTTAAAGCGTCCATTGTGTGAAATTTAAAAAAGTTAGCATTTTTGATAAGCTTTCATAAGTTAAAAAATCTTAAAATGCGCAATAGCGAAGTTTTTTTTTTTGTTTTGATTTCCGCCGATCTTGTTTTCTGTACTGAGTACCAATGCTACCGACGCCAGGAAGGCAGCTCCCACACCTGGACCCTACCTATAATCCATCAACTCATGGACGGACCAACGGCTTTACTTTCCTTTCGAAGGAAGGCGAGATCAGAGATTTAAAGCCTCAGAAAATCCTATGGCGCACAGTGGAACGAAATAAAAAAAAAGTAGGACATGGCCAAATTTTAGTTTTGGCCCAATGTCACCCCCATAAGGATTTACATTGGTCTATTTTTTATTTAATTTCAGTAAAATGAGATATCAACTTCAATCAACCATTTCCCCGACAGTCGTGAAAAAACACAAGTCTTTTTAACACGGTTTTTTTAAGCGTGGTCGTTCGAATCACATTAAGCCATTGCATAGATTAAAAAAAATCTATTTTTTTGTGTAAATACAGAAATTTTTAAAATAATCTATATGGACCATAGCATATTTATGTAAATATATTAATTTTTAAAATACATATAGATGAACTATAGCATGCTAAAATTACGATTGGCATCAAACCCCTTTTTTTTATATATCTTTAAGGATGTGAAAAATCAACATCTTGGTAGGCTTTTTCACACTGTACATATTTCCCGTGTTAACAATACCTGAGTGTATATCATTCATAAATATATTCACATGATTAAATGTTTTTTCCTTGCTAAAATGTGAATGCTGTAAGGTAAAGAACGAAAAATTTTGATTTTTTGGTCCAATATCACCCCCACTTACACAGCAAAAACAAATTTATTTTAATAATACATCCAAGAGGATGCACGTCAATCATATCGAAAATCTTATGTAATTTTTATGGCCACAACAATAAACAAATGCGTAATGTCAGTTCATGCTCTGTATTAATGATAATTTTATCCTTTTTGGCAAGTAATATTACACCATGTTTTCGACACTTTAGAAGTGCATCCACTTTGATGTGATATTAACATTAATTTTTTGCTGTGTTCGGAACACTGAAACAAGGATCATAGTTAGGAGTACTATTTTTCATAAATCACTTATTTTCAATATAACCACGCATAATACCGTTAGATCTACCATGATTTCAGTGTAGTTGACTATGAGTGCAAAGAAACAACAATATAATATTTTTGCCAATAGATTTTGTTTCTGTTTAGTTTTAAAATACGAAATGTAACATACCTCAAACTTAAAAACGCAGTAAATTGAAACTCTTAGTCAAATAACAAAAAAATGTAGTCACAATTTATTTCAATGGGAAAATAGCCATCTCCAGTATGATACACCCTGAAACCATTCAACATAAGGAAACTAACAACTTCTGTGTTATTCACAATATAAGCCACAACTCATTACAACGGACTTCTGGAGTAGTACAATAATGTTACATTAATTTTCATTCTTTTTATCATTTCAGTAATCGCTGCTCATCACGTCCACTAAGTTGATGGTAACATAAGCGCACAAAACCACCAGCCCCTTTGTGGTTGACCACAATATCGGAACAGTTTTATCATCCCATCGGTAGTAGACCACTTTAGTGCCATACGGAGAGCCAAGTTGCTAAGAGTCAGTCTCTCAATTTGTGTGATAAGCATAATAATAATAACGATAATAATAATAAAAATAATAATAATAATAATCGCTGTTGTAGAAATAATGAACACGTTCAAAATGACCACGATAGCATTCCGACGTTGGTTGATGATGAAACATGTAATCATAAATGCGTCATGTTTGCTAATTATATGCACAGCTGCCAACGTTGCCACGGCACCCTCGACGACAGGAGCGGTAACGGGGGTGGACATCCCAAGAGGCAAGTTTCAATCGATTCGTGACACCGTTGGCGCCGGAAACCGACCAGACAATAAGCAGACGCCCGCTGTGCATAGAAATTTGATGCTTGAGCGAGAATTTTATGTGAATAGCCACGATAAAACTTTATCTCCCGTAAAGTCTGATTACGATGTTAAGGATTTCCAGAACAAACGTGACTCTCGGTTTAGTGCAAATGTGAGGTGGAAACGAAGCCCTAGTAACTCTAGTACAAATAGCAATTTCAATATTCTAAACTTATCAAACAAGAAGCTTAGTGATGGCAAGCGTTTAGCAGAAGAGTTGTCAAACTACAGCCACAGGCAGATTAATTACGAGATAAGTCACTACTACAACTTCAGTGATATCAGTGCATTAGACCTATCGAGAAACAGCCTATCGGAGGAACTTCCGGAACATGTGCAAGGAAACTTTTCCGGTCTCTCATGGCTAGACTTGTCGGAAAATAATCTCACCTCCGCAATTGGACTGAAGTTTCCCGCACTAAAATATTTGAATCTGTCGAGCAATCACATAAAGTCATTTTCTACCACCCACCTGCAGCATTTGACTCGGCTGGATATCTCCTGCAATTCCATATCCAGTAGGGTAGCACTTCTCCCTCTGATGCTACGAAATCTGACCGATCTGGATCTCAGCTGCAATCAACTGGAAACTATAGACAAAAGTTTCTGCTTCCACACCCACTCGCTGCACCGGTTAGACATTTCCGAAAACGTAATCAAGCGGCTGAATCGTTCCATTTTCTACAATCTTATCAACCTAGAGCATCTGAACCTCGCCGGAAATCGAATCGATGTTATTGAAAATGACACGTTCTCCTATCTGCTAAATCTGCAATTTCTGGACCTGTCGCGCAACGACATCGGACCGGGCTCGATTCGGGCGCTTCAGGGCATTCCGGCACTGATTGGCCTTTCGTTGGCGTACAATGCGCGCCTCGGACCGGTCATGCACGAGTTTGTAGCCTCCTGGAGCTTGAAAGAGCTGGACGCTAGCGGAACTGGGCTGTGCCACATCCCGACGGCACTGGCGCAGTCGGTTAAATCGCTGAAGTTGACCAATAATTTGCTGAGCGTAAGTATTTTTGAAACTTGTTTTTTTTTATCAGTTGAATCTGTGGAACGGCAAGAGGAGTTTCCGCTGCAATGGCTGTCTTTTTATATGTTCGCAGCAATTCACAATCGTTTTATAATGGACTTTTATATTGAACTAGGGAAGGAAACGGCTTCGACACTCAAATGTCATTAGCCAAATAATCAGGTCCACCATGTACTGAATGGGGAATTGTGGGTTTTAATTCCACCGGTGAACGTAGATTTTTTCGCAAATTTTCTCAAACGTACGTGATATATTATTACCTCTCAGTATCTTCTAACTGTTCCATAAAGACAATTAATGATGACTGAAAAAAATTTCCTCTTCTTTTTTTGCTTTATTATAGAAACTTTCAGCCCATAGCTGGTGGACTGAAAAATCGTTAACCGTACTTAAACGCTATATAGGGTCGAGAACTACTTCGGCCTAATCGCCCATTTTGGGCCTATCGAGCAGAAAACTTCAAATAAATCCATGATTTCAGAGTTAACAAGTCAATTATGCATTTGGTACGATACTTGAGTTAAAAAGTTACGGAACGAAGTCAATGAGAACGCGTGATATGAACGTTTGCACCCATTATTCCCAAAAAACAAAAGAAGCTCTCCGACCGAATCAATTTTTATCTTCAACCGATAGGCCGAAGTGAATTCATTGGCGTTTCAATGGCGTTCCAATGCGTTAGGCCGAGTTTGGCGTCAAGAAGCAGTGTTAGACTTTTGACAATATCTCAACGATTGGTTTCTCTTTATCAAATCTCACGGTACATACGGAAACGGAAAGGTAAATATATTTGGAAGCCATCAGTAATAATATCATTCCGTTTGGTGCTAAACTGCGCTAGATTAAGGAAGACTAAGTGCGGGTTGTGCTAATAGGCCGGAAATGGCGTAGTTAACCCTATTTATATATAATTTTTTTTCATTGATTTGTTTTCCGTCGATCTTGTTTTCCGTGCTGAGCACCAATGCTACCGACGCCAGGGAGGCAGATCCCACACCTGGACCCTACCTATCGACCCATCAACTCATGAACCTGGGACCAACGGCTTTACTTCCCTCCGAAGGAAGGCGTGATCAGAGATGTTATACCTCAGAACATCCCGGCGGCGTCTTCTGGGATTAAACCCAGGCCTGCTGGGGTGAGAGGCAATCACGCTTACCACTACACCACCGGCGCCGCTGAACGCTAAATATTAATGAACCATTTTTCGAAATCATATTGAGTAAATTAAGTCTGATATTACAGGTATTATTCTTAAAATTATGGATGAACAACCAACTTTTTTTTTAATTCTACAACTTGATGGACCCTTCAATATGGAGTTATGGAGAGTTGACTGCACTTATATAAAAATAATCCTAGCTCGAAATTCAACGGTTTTTTAATTTTTTTTTTATCTCACTAAGATTTTAGGGGAGTAGGGGAGGGGCATCAACTGAAAATCTAAGTGTGTCTTACGAGTGTGGTAGAGGAAGTCTAACAATCACTCAAAACCCCTTACATATTTTGTAAGGCATCTTCGATACAACGTAGCTCAACTCAATATAACGCAACTTTTGCTTCGTAAAAGATGAAAAATAAATCAATATGTTTGCTCAGAAACTAGTTTTGATACGTTAAAATGTTAGGACTGTATTTTAAAGATTTCAATTTGAAATTGACTACTTTCCAACGAAATATAAAAAAAACAACTGGAGTCGCTTTTTACGCAGGGGATACGAACCGCGTATAAAAAACGCGTAAATTCTAAAATACGCGTTAAAAACGACCCGCATAAAAAGTGATTCGGTAATTCACAAACAAAAATGCACGTTGGAATAGAAAATTCTGATTTTGATGCATTGATACCAGTGATTCAAGTGTCACCACAACCTGGTGTGGAACGACAGCGTCATTAATTTTGTCTGAGCAAATTTGATTGAATGGAAAAAAAATCTCTTGATTTACACATACACATTCAGACCATTGTGGTGACACTTGAACCTCTGGAATCAACGCATCAACATAAGAATTTTCTATTCCAACGTGCATTTTTGTTTGTAATTACATACTCTTTAATATCTACAAACATGGCCTCCTATACAGATGCTTGCGGTGTATAATCCATGCTTGGTGACGTAACTGAAACTCGAATACTGAGATCTAGTATCGGTGATGGATGACATTTAAAGTCAATATCAACAAACAACCGTAGCCCAAGTATCTCACAAAATATAAAAATACATTTACATTTACATTTACATTTACATAATTTCAGAATATCCATCTTAAAAAAAAAACTTCCTGCAGATTTTTGTATTTTGATAAGTCAATAAACTAAAAGAAACTTTGCGATTTGAAATAATTGATTTTGAAAGGTATTCTACAACTTCTCAAATGTTAATTAGAGTCGATAGATAGACTACTATTTTTTTCAGCTTAGTTGTTTCCGATAACATTATCTGGAGCCCGAGTAAATTTTCTGTAGAAGGCACACGGTAAACCTTCAGGAACAAGAAGAACTATTCACCAACCCCATCCTACACTGCACTACCCGAGCAAGAACCGATAACATATGAATATCTTAATGTGGTATGCTATCTCATCTTTGTATCTTTCTTCCTCTTCGCATTACAAGCTTATTGCTTATCGCACATTAGCTTTTTGCGTGCTCTAGATACGCACTTCAGTGGCCCTTCGTCTGTCGACAGAAGCAGGTCACTCGCAATGTGTGTTACGCGATCGTCTGTTTACTCGGCAGCAACCATTGTGTGGTCCTCCTCATTGTTATTCATCAGCAGTTCTTTCAGTCGATGCGTCGTCGACTTTGGAAAGCAACCGTTTCGTGATGAGTGTGTGAGTGCTGACTACGTTTTGCGTCCACGACAGCAATGGAAGCGCTCTGCCCCTCGTTGGCGATACTGCCATACAATGAATGTACTGGAAGCGGTTTCTCATGGAGGAAGCTTTTTGGATAGAGGAAGATAAAGTGTTTAATTTATTGCATCTTTTTACTATAGTTTTAAGATGTTTTGTATAGTGAACAAGAAACCTCGGCTCTGTAAAGTTAATTCGGTTGAGCCTTATCAATAAATCAATTACCAAAATAAAAGATACGCACTTCCACAGTTATTAGTAAAGCTTTCGATGCCAATGAATGAATTTGTATATTATGTGGCAAGCACAATAATACCTTATGCCCAGGGAAATCGAGAAAATTTCCAATCCTAAAATTCCCTCGACCGGACCGAGAATCAAACCCGCCGGCTACAACATGGAAATAGCAATGGGCGATCTTGGATCTAAACACAAAAGATCGATTCTTTTGGTTCGATTAATCGATTTTTTTAATCGATAACAACCACGACAAAAATCGACTAGATCGATCCTTTTCATTCGATTTTTGTTTCGATCCAAAAAATGTTTTCAGTGCATTTGCATTGCAATTTAATATTGATTTTTTTTTTGTCTTCAACTTTGCACATCTCTTACGTTGAACATGGATTCAGTGAAAGATTTGGTGGAAAAAATTCATTGCAGTTTGACGAGAGGTTCAAAGACGTTTAGCTGGTGGATACATTAGTTAAAATTGGGTCTGAACAGATATATAGTACCGAAAGAGTATACGATGATATGCACACATCTGTGTCCCCACCAAAACCAACCGGAGGCCTGTGGGATATTCATGACGAAATGGTAAAGAAAGTTATTTTTTCCAGATATGTACAAACATTCCCTTTTTATGACATATTTCAGGTTCATCAGTCCTCTGCTAGATCTGCTGGATCGCCAATGAGGCACGTCGGCAGAATTAAAAAAAAATCTTGCATCAGCCTGTTTTCCCACGTTCTGTCGATCATTTTCAAACATGGAAACAAATCCGTAGTGAATATCCCCATGTATACCTCATTGCTCGAGAATATTGATCAAGTGTTCCTTTTTTCTTTTTTTTTTCTTCTTAACAACAAGTGTTCCGTCAGAGAAGCTATTCTCTTAATCTGGTGAAACCACACAGAATCGATATCGGCTCAATGTAAAACGCATGGCTCAATAAGTTTTCTTGGGATCCCTCTCGGATGAGTTTTGGAATATCTGCATTAAGTACTTTTCGTACTTTCCTACTTTTACACTCCAACCATCTAAGTCAAAATGAAGATATTTTATTGTGTTTTCAATACACTGGAGTTGCTTTTTACGCGGTTTTTTTACACGGTTTTTTTTACGCGGATTTCGAAATTTACATGGTTTTTTTTTACGTGGAACTCCCGGAAATGATAGAGAACAGTCATAAAACCTCATGTCTACCTTTGAATAGGTTCCGGATGTTCCGGATTATGGTTCCATATGGTCAAATTTATTATCTATCATAACCATATCAAGTTCAGATCTACTGGATGAAATATGACCAATGGCACTAGAGACGAACCAGCCAATGCACAATGGGGAAAAATTGACGGAAAAATACATTTAATTGTGTACCATTGAAATTCGCTGGTTGAAAAATATAGTTCATATCATCAATAGAATTGTTGTCACCGCTGGAAGTAAGGTTGGAAGAGACATCCGAAGGGGGCGTCTCATCTAAATCTCAATTCTAGATGCTCAACAAATCTCACACTAGTGAATCAATATTCGAATAATCTTCGTTCATTTCTCACATCTACTTGCATCACGCATCATTTTATTACAAGAAATCTTTAGAATCGCCGTCAATGTTCTTTCTATCTACTCAGCGTGTGCGCAGCTAACCACAGTGAATCACAATTTTTCCTGCATCGTAGATAGAGTCAACCCCTCGGATAAATCGACTATTTTTCGAAAATCTGTTTATCCCGCCAGGATTTGAAATCTGCCGGATTTGATGGTGTACACTATTACTTCATTATTGAATATTCATGGTTTTCCTTTATAGTTGACATGGTTGATGTATGTATTTTTATTTATTTACTTCGTTTATTTATTAATTAAGAAACTATCGAAAATTCGTCGATTTATCT